CAATATGCATTAATATGCATCAGTAATCAGGTGGCTAGAGGTACAATATCACATTTCCTGCAGCGACTATGGGAGGTAGAAATATGATCAAATTAAGGTTAGATTAGAATGTTCTGGATGCCTGTAAATGTGAACGCTCAAATCCCTTTTACATACAGTACATTAAAAGTGGAGCACAGCGTCACTTTAAGCACAACTCAGAAGCACATTTAGCTTTTTTCATTCATTATATTTGTTAGGATGCTCATCAGTAGGAAAACACATAGTGGCATCTCAGAAATGAAGAATGAAAGCACTCAGGTGTGAGAAAAAGTTCCTGTTTGGATTTGGAAAATACTTTGAAAGTTTTAGAAATGAATAGTGCACTTTGCTTTGGCATGTCACTGAGCTTTATTCTTGTCAGTTTATTTTACTTGTTCTATACGAAGAAAAAGGAGTTTGATGTTGGTGTCTGGAGCATCAAAAATGAGGCGCTGAACGTGCAATGATGAGAATTGATGTAAGAATGGAACATAAATGCTCCCTGTGTTTGTAATTTCCAGATGACTAAATTCTCCAGTTAAAGTCAAATAAATGCTTCTCTTAACTAAAGCCAAGATTTTTTTTTTGTGCATTTTAACTTGTCTTATTCATACAATTATTGCACTGAAACAAACTATTACAAAGCAAAACTAAAAAGAAAATGTTACAATATATTTTATTCATCAAGACAATAAATACAAAGCTGATCAATGCAACAGAAGTTCGCTGTACCTATAGGCAGATTAATGCAACAATATAGATATACACAATATATAATATAGTAAGAGTACAGTATAGAACTAATTCTGAGGCACAACAACGGGTAGAACACATGTACAGCCCAGACTAACTATTTTAGTCTCTAGTTTAAGGGCATAGTGCATAGCATTTTTGTTCTTCACTCTCCTCAAGACGTTGATCTGGTAGTAGATTGGTTTAGATTCCAGTCCGAAGTCTTCTTTACCATCTTTAGTTAAACAGCTTTTTTTTTCACATTTTGCCTCCGAGATTTTCGATGGGATTCGGGAATTGTCCCAGGATTCTCTGAATTGAAACATTTCTAAAAATTCACTTGCAAAAAAATTACAATTAACCAAACTATCCAAAACTACTCCAAATCATTGCTATGATTCGCGTATTTGTTGCACAAGAACCCCCGCATATCACACATATAATATGAGATCAAAATGAACAACTGTAACGATTTATCAGATCAAAGACTCACTCGTATGTCCATGGTGACAAAGATCTGCTTGGAGACAGAGGGACGTTCATTGTGAGGTTCAGAGATGCATCCAAATTGACCCGCTTTCCTTTTTTTGATTTTCTTTTAGACTTTTTCTGAGAAGAAGCACCATTTAATAACAGGGCAAGCAGGTAAAGCAGCAGCACAGCTCTGAAAACCTGAGGAGATGGAGACAAAGAGTACTGCAGTGTGTTGCTTGAACGGTTTGTTCTGAGATTGTTCATTTGCCTAAACATCCGAAAGCTCTAAAGGTGAAAATCAACAACAAAAAGCCTTTGCAAACTTTAGTCCTGCGAGTCAATTTTTAAATTCAAGTAGATTATTTCTCACTTGTATTCCCCTAAAATGAAGAACAACATAATTAGAGTTTAATTCATTGGTGTGACAAACTCACCAAAGAGAGCTGCATCTTCAGAATAAAAATGTAAGTTCAGAGCTGGTACACAAAGGACAGCAAGTGTCTGAGCCCTGCATCTAACCTTTTCTTCTTTATATAGGCTGGTGAGGAAGCCTTTAACTTCCTGATCTTGACGTAGAGAGACAAATCTGGAGTACTGTAGATAATCATCTTGAGAACATTAAACTCTGATAATGAAGACCAATTTGCAATGCGTGTCTTTTTGTAATATCAGTGCAGCATTTTTTCACATATGAAAGGTGGCTAGAAGGGTGTTCATTAGAGGTTCTTCTGTTTCACTGTATGTTTAACTTGGGCACTTAAACTCTGCACTCTCCCACGTTCTCACATTTCACCCATATACACATCAGCAGACTTCTGAATAACAAATTTGTACACCAGCAGATGCATTTTATATGGGTCAGCAGCTTTGACAGGATATGTTGATTGTGTTCTGAAAGGACTGGGTTTTTGCTGGTAATAGCTGAGACAAAGTGACCCATATATACAGGTGCATCTCAATAAATTAGAATGTCGTGGAAAAGTTCATTTATTTCAGTAATTCAACTCAAATTGTGAAACTTGTGTATTAAATAAATTCAATGCACACAGACTGAAGTAGTTTAAGTCTTTGGTTCTTTTAATTGTGATGATTTTGGCTCACATTTAACAAAAGCCCAACAATTCACTATCTCAACAAATTAGAATACTTCATAAGACCAATAAAAAAACATTTTTAGTGAATTGTTGGCCTTCTGGAAAGTATGTTCATTTACTGTACATGTACTCAATACTTGGTAGGGTCTCCTTTTGCTTTAATTACTGCCTCAATACGGCGTGGCATGGAGGTGATCAGTTTGTGGCACTGCTGAGGTGGTATGGAAGCCCAGGTTTCTTTGACAGTGGCCTTCAGCTCATCTGCATTTTTTGGTCTCTTGTTTATCATTTTCCTCTTGACAATACCCCATAGATTCTCTATGGGGTTCAGGTCTGGTGAGTTTGTTGGCCAGTCAAGCACACCCGCACCATGGTCATTTAAACCAACTTTTGGTGCTTTTGGCAGTGTGGGCAGGTGTCAAATCCTGCTGGAAAATATTAACTTTTCCACTACATTCTAATTTATTGAGATGCACCTGTATGTGAACTAATACAAATGCATGTACATGCACATAAAAAACCTAAGATGTCTAATCGAAGTGTGTCTAGCCTGCTTATTGAGATCTTAAAGTTTCATTTTCAAGTTTTTAATACATAGAGCCCTATTGTAAAGCATTAGCGCTTATTAAGAGCACGATGAACGGGTTACATTTGGCAATTTCAGTGTTAAATATGCCCCAGATACACCAACTGACACTTGTAGCCCTACACAGTGCTCTTATACTCCTCCACTAGTTTCAATTTAGGTCACTGAAGTGCTGACTTGGTTCTTGAAACAGTATGTTCCAGCAGCCAACACTAGCACGACCACAAGCATATGATAACATCTCCTGAGTCATTCTTAGAAAATGACATTACAAGCAGGCGAGAAAAACAACAATGGTATGTTTAATGTTGAATGGCATGAGAACCAGTTGCAAAAAGTTGCAAAACTCTAAATTCAGCCATTTACTCACTCTCATGTCATTTCAAACCTGAAACCTCAGCTGTCTTTTTGTCCATACTGTATAATGGAAGTCGGTGGGGTCCAATGGTGTTTGGTTCCCAACGTTTTTCAAAATATTTTCGTTTTTCCACAAAAGAAAGTCAGTTATGCAGGTTTGGAGCGACATTAGGTACAGGTACATCTAAAAAAAATTTGAATATCATGAAAAAGGTCAATATTTTTTGTCACTCATTTCAGAAAGTGAAACCCATATATTATATAGAGTCATTACACATTGAGTGAAATATTTCAAGCCATTATTTCTTGAAATTTTGATGGCTTACAGATAATGAAAACCCAAAGTTCAGTGTCTTAGAAAATTAGAATATTACATAAAATCAATAAAAAAGGATATTTTAAACAGAAATGTCAGGCTTCTGAAAAGTATGTTTATTTCTATGCACTCAACACTTGGTTGGGCCTCCTTTTGCATGAATTACTGCATCAATGCGGCGTGGCATGGAGGCAATCAGCCTGTGGCACTGCTCAGGTGTAATGGAAGCCCAGGTTGCTTTGATAGCGGCCTTCAGGTCATCTGCATTGTTGGGTCTGGTGTCTCTCATCTTTCTCTTGACAATACCCCATAGATTCTCTACCCAATATTCTAATTTTCTGAGACACTGAATTTTGGGTTTCATGATCTGTAAGCCATAATCATCAAAATGTCAAGAAATAAAGGCTTGAAATATTTCACTCTATGTGTAATGAATCTATATATGGGTTTCACTTTCTGAAATGAGTGACAAAAAATATTGACCTTTTTCATGATATTCTAATTGTTTGAGATGTACCTGTAAATGACGACAGGATTGTAGGTTTTATCCCCTTACTAGGGTTTCTCCAGCTCCCACACCACCACAAGTTTACACTTACCAGTTTTAATGAACCGGGAAGCTGGACAGTAAGAAGACGCATCTTGATGCGTCTGCATGCTTGAGCAGAAAGGTTTACAACTGAGGAGCTGCACTCTGCATTTAAATCATCATTTGCTCTACATCTATGAGACAATCCAGTCATAATAATACACAGACAAATAAAACCCACATTAGACTGAAAGGGCAATGAGGGCAATCAGTAACTCTAATGACTAAGAATGTCTAATGCATGACTAATTTGAGGTTATGTGGCTTTTTCGTGTTATGCAAAAGAGCAGAGATTTATGTAATGTTAGATCTTGATCATTAGTCTTTTTGTACTGTATATTAAAAAAGTACAGTATGTATTGCATTCGTAAATATTTTGTATGTATAAGTATACTGTAGAAAAATACAATTAAGTCAATGAGAAAATGTTTTTGCCACTTTTTATTGACAGAGGCAGAATAGACAGGACAACATTGGGATGGGGAGAATGAGTTGAAACCTCCATCTCCTGCTTGAGCACACCACAGCTCAATGTGTGCGGAGTACTAGGCCACAACTCTAACAGAACAACTGTATTCAGAAGTATATTAGTGAACATTATTGACACTTTTTTTTTTTTTTTTACATTTTCAGTGGTTTAATAATTTTTAAACAATAATTCAGTATTTACAAGTTGTAAAACAAAAATTTAAAATAATCTGCAGGCACTGGTCCAAGCTATTCTTAAGAAAAATATAAAAGCCAACAGAAAAGGCTAATTTCTGAAGAATATTAACCAAATCTAAGAATGCTGATAAACATTAAACATATGTTACAGAGAGAAAAATAACAAAAAATGTAAAGTACACATTTTTTAATACATGCATTTGTATGCATGTAACAAGCATATGAAAAATATACATTAAGAAAAATCGACTGAAAATGTCTTGAGTGAATGCGTATGCATGTTCAAGAACATGAAAATAAACATTGCAAATCTTCTGAAATAGATCTACACTTGAACTCTGTCATTTTCTTACTCTCCAGAAAACGCATTTATATAAGGAAGATGATGTCATCAGCCACCATAACCTGGTTGTCGTCCTGCATGCGGCTGAGGGCGGCACGGACCTCAGTTTCTTTAAATGGTGATGGGCAGCTCTTGTTGATGCCCTCCATCAGAGCAATCATGCCAACTGACTGAGCATGAGAAGAGCGGAACACCTCCAGCAATGCGGTTTTAAACTCTTTCAACCTACAGCAAAAACACACACATGGTGCGTCAGACATACAGCATCCGAAACAATCAGCTGTCCTGCAGACCATGCAGTTTCTGTTTAGAACTTAATCAGAAACAACACTTCAAAAGAATGTGGCAGCCCTTTAAAAATGCTGAGTGTAAGAGATACCCAAAATCTCTGCAGACAAATCCTAAATGCCTACCTGTCATCAGACAACTCTGTGTGACCGTTCTGATCAGGAATGTCCATTGGCTCCTCATCCTGACTTGCAGGAGCTGGGGACTGAACTGAGAACCAAAATTATTCATATCATTTGAATGTGCATTATGATTAAAAGTGATGCTTTCTATATATCTAAATATCTTAATCTTTAAAACAATCTAATTATAATATTTTCATTTACTTATTAATTACATTCATTTTATTTATTTAAAAAACATCTTTTTATGTTTAAAAAATAATTCAAATATGTTTTTTATAATATGTTGTATTTACTTTAAAAAATAATGTAAAATTAATTTAACCCATTCAGCATAAATATAAAATGTTTGTTGTTGGTTTAGCTTACTTTGTGGTACTTCAGTCTCAGTATCAAAGTCATAGGGGTCATATGACTCACTGCCCCGAGATGGTCTGCGCTCAGAAAGGCAAAAAGGAGAAAACTTACATTTTAATTTATTTAAAAACAGAAAACAGTTATTTGAAACTGTAATAATATTTCATAATATTGCTGTTCTTGCTGTGCTTTTGATCAAATAATTTCAGCCTTTGTGAGCTTTGTGACTTCTTTCAAGAGTCTTAAAAACTTTTGATTGGTATGTGTATCTTGGAAAATTCATAATCAATGATTTTGCAAAGTTATCGTGGAACAACACTAGACCTTTTTCTCAGTCTTCGAGGTGTGTCTTGTACTTCATCCTCCTCTTCATCCTCTGCGTCTTGCTCACCCTTTCTAGAGCGCTTACGGTCCTTCTCCAAAACCTAAAAAACGGGCAACAAGGGACGGAGACATTAATTTAATTGACAGAAAATTAAACTAAGTTCAACAGAAGTACAATATGTCTTGCTCACCCTTTCTAGAGCGCTTACGGTCCTTCTCCAAAACCTAAAAAAACGGGGAACAAGGGACGGAGACATTAATTTAATTGACAGAAAATTAAACTAAGTTCAACAGAAGTACAATAAATTAAAAAGTAGGGATCTGTAAACTCCATCTATAAGGTATCTATATCTTAAAACACCAATCTAAAGGATAAAAGTCATTATAATTGAACTCAAATCTGTCTAATATCAAGTAAACAACTGTGACCAATGAGCTACAATATAAACAAACAGACCTTCTTGAAATAGGCAAACTGCACAAGCTCTACAGCAACATCGGTGTCCACCAGTTCCACAACTTTGCTCATGCGAGCTTTGGCGTGAGCTGTAGACAGACGGATCAAAGTCTCCAGGGTTCTAGCAGTGACCGGCGACGTCTGAAGACAAAACACAGCACACATTCCTCAGATTAGTTACCTGACAGCATAAGAACTTTTACCAACTATTTACCAATACCTGACCAAAAAACCAACTCATAACTTTGTTGAGCGGCTGCACTTACCCGTGCGATGTCAGAGCCGAGCTGCTCCTGGTTGCGCAGACGCGAGTACTCCTCTGCAATGTGATTGGCTGCATCTTGAGTCAGAACAGGAGAAAGAGCCTTGGCAACATGGATGTACTTCCTCATGAATGCTTTACTCACCACTCGGTCCCTAAAAAAAGATCACAAAAAAAAACTAACATTTTGGTGTATAATAATGGGTTTACATACAGCTAAGAATGTATAAGAAAGGATTAGCATGTACCACATTTATTTTATGCATTATTAAACTACACTACCTTTGGAGTTGAAAGGCAGTAAGATTTTTTAAATAAATGAATATTTTATTCAGAAAAGACGCATTAAATATATCAAAAGTGACATTTATAATGTTACAAAAGATTACTATTTTAAATCAATTCTGTACTTTCTATTCATTAAATAATCCTGAATATATCTCGGTTCCCAAAGAAATATTAAGCAGCGCAACTGTTTTCAACATTGATAATAATAAGAAATGTTTCCAGATCAGCATACTCGAATGATTTCTGAAGGGTCATGTCACACTGAATACTGGAGTAATGACTGCTGAAAAAAATCACAGCAATAAACTACATTTTAAAATTTACTACAATTGAAAACAGTTACTTTAAATTGCAGTAATATATAACAATATTGCTGCTTTTGCTATATTTAGGATCAAATAAATGCACCCTAGGTGAGCATAAGAGATTTTCAAAAACATCTTACCAACCCCAAACCTTTAAACAGTAATATATTTTCTTGAAAAAGTAGAAAAGCAAAACATGGCATCACTATTCAAATATAGGGGCATGCCTGAAGCCATGTGGCAATATAATAAACCAGACATAATCTGGTCTGAGTAAACCACTGAGATTTGCATTAGAGAAGTAAATTAAACGAGTCCTTACTTTACTTTTTTGCTGCCATGGAGGAGTGGATTGTGTTTCTCGTACACCTGTAGCTCCTCTTCTTCCTCCTGAGTTACATCAGGGTCTTCAGTGGCCAGTGCATCAACAGTACCACCAAGAGCAAAAGCTGAAACACACAAACGCATGGGAGTCCAATAAACACTACAGCAGAGACTATTTGCAACATGATTCATTTGTAATACAGAATATATCACAGAATGTAATTTTCTATGTTAAAATACTTTCTCCTATTCCATTTTTAAGCAACTCTATTTGATGACCTTAATTGCACAGAAATGGCACACCTAACACAAAATAAATAGTATAAAATGTTTGTATATCAGCTTGTACCTGCTCCGTCCTGCTCATGAGGATCTCTGTAGCGGTGCATGCGCAAGACGTGGTCGGAGATCTCGCGGTCCTGCTCTGGGTCCATCTGATCCAGCATGATGAAGAGCAAATCAAAACGAGACAGCAGGGAGTCCTGCAGACCGATGTTCTCCATGGGGGTCTTATACTGATCGTACTGCAGACGAAGAGAGAGAAACCATGAAAAGACCCAGACAAATTCATAAAATAGAACATGAAATACAAAGAAATGACTAGCAATGAGTAGTTGCAATTTGCATCAGCTGTAATCCAGATCCTTGCTCTATCAAGTCTGATTGCCTGAACTAAACTGGATATTTATTAAGAATAACATTATGAAACAATGCACGCCCATTTACTTAGATATTTCAGATCTTACGAACACCAAATAAAGCACGTACTCGGCCATAGACCGGGTTGGCAGCTGCCAGGACGCTGCAGCGGGCGTTCAGTCGAGCATGGATGCCGGCCTTGGCGATGGTGACGCGTCCCTGTTCCATGACCTCATGGATAGCAGTGCGATCCATATCTGACATTTTGTCAAACTCGTCAATGCAGACCACCCCTCGATCCCCCAAAACCATGGCACCAGCCTCGAGACGTCGCTCACCTGAGTGACAGACACAGCTTAATATTAAGAAAACAAAAAAAAGAAGCTGTTATTATTGAACCTATGGGTTCTTGTCTTGATGGTGTGTGTGAAACGCAGTACCTGTCTCTTGGTCAGTGGTGACGGCTGCGGTCAGACCTACACCTGATGAGCCTCGGCCTGTGGTGGGAATGGCACGAGGAGCAGTGTGCAGAACATACCGAAGCAGCTGAGACTTGGCCACCGAGGGGTCACCTGAGAAATAGAGATATATATGCAGAATTGAAACATCTTATCATCTTACGTTGTGTAAATTGATTGTATTTGAAGTTACCAATTAGAGTATAATACTGTCAATAATATTTTTTTTCTAATAATATATTTTGGTTTAAATCCATTCTGCAGATTTCCCCTCATAATCAGTACATATATTTATTTAGAAATGAACTGATATTTACACTTGTTTTAATCTGTTATCATTTTTTTAAATCCAGTAAATGGATAAATTCTGCGCCATCTGCTGGGTCTGTAAAGAACAGCACCCAAAGGTGAAGTCGTTTTTTAATAATAATTTGACATTATTACATCACTATTACCATTTCTCTCACAGAGTATGAATAGGGCTTCTATATTTTAGGAAAGGGGGTACTTGCAAGATGATTATCAAATTTGGGGCATCAAACAGTTTGAAACACCTGGTTTAGATCCTCAAAGTCATTGAAACCTAAAGCTTTTTTATGTCAAATAAACTTTATATATGTAATATCACTAAATCTCTACAGAATATAGCAAAAAAAAAATGCAGGTTTCATTTGGACCTAATTACAAATTATATAGCTACAAAAACAAATATTGTGGCGTTCTCAATCTGATGTCCAGCACAGAAAACATTTTGTAAATATGAATCATTCATGTTACCTTAAATGTCTCTCATTTTAGAACATCATCTGTGCAAATCTAAGCAAGTAAATACCTATGAGCAGCACATTGATGTCTCCTCTAATGCGTGAGCCGTTCTCCAAAACCTTCTCCACCCCTCCCAGAAGCATGCACAGAATCGCCTTCTTTATGTACTCGTGACCATGAATACTGGGGGCCAGGGAGCGAGCCAACTGATCAAACAAATTCTACAGGAGTAGAAACCATTCATTACTTTACAAAACTCTTGTGCCCAAATTAGTGATGCACTAGGCATGTGTACAAATGCTTAGATCTATTACACAACAGTTATGTGTCCAAATCTTAAACACATTTACACTTCAATCCTCTTACCTTCGAGCGAGTTCTGCAGAAGCTCTTGATCTTGGCCACATCATCTGCAGAGAAGAAGTGAGAGACTTCTTTGCTCATCTGTTTGACGTGGCAGGCGATCATGATGGTCCTGAACAAACACACACGGGGAACAAAACGTATAAAAGCTTTAGCAAATAATATTTATATATTTTAAATAACAATTCTACAATAAAACTGATTTTATACTGAAAAAATTCCAAAACAGCTTTACCTGAAGGTGCCCGAGGTGAATCCCCCCTTCTTGCCAGGCAGGCAGCGGTAGGTGCCGATCACCTGCGTACGGTCCCCTGGCTTTACAGCATCCACCAAGTCGTTGTCCAGGATGATGTCCACAGAGCGGGGCAGCTGACCGGCAGGCGCTTTCTCCGGCATTTCCTGCACTGTGATGGTCTGGTGGTCCTTATAGATGGACAGACCGAACTCAGTCTCAAGTGGATTGTTCTCCTCATCCTGAATGGATCAAATATAGAAAGTGAGAACATTAAAGAAACCATTTATGAACCATCTAGAGCAGGGATTATCAAACAGAGGTCCAGCAGGCTGCTACAGAAAAGTTCAGCATAAAAAAACAACAATATGATAATAACTGTATTATTATTTTACTATAATTAATCAAATGTATTATTTAATTTAAAAAATCTGACATTGCTGTTTCTACAATATCAAACTCTATAAACGACTATAAATATGTCTCTATTAAATACATACTCTGTATTTAATATACGACTCTGTAAATACATAAGTGACTATGTATTTTAGAAAGGGGTTCCTTACAAGGTCATCATCAAATTTGGGGTATTTAAAACGTTTCAAATCTCCTGATCCTGTGCTATTCCACTAATCTAAGTGGTCAGGTGGGACAAATACAGTACCATGGTGGGATAAATGGCACTTGAAGGAAAAGCATCCAAAGAGGTCATATCGGTGTATTTGCGCTCCATGGTCTTCTTAGTGGCTGGGCAGTAGTGCACACTGCGTACTACTTTGGGACGCACCAAAGAGCCTGTAAATAGAAGGAGAACATTTTATCAATGTACCATCCATGCAACATTTTACGTACATATATAACGTTGGACCTACATTTGGTGATGATGCCCTCCAAACACACCATGCTACCCAACAAGCGAGAGGTCAGGGTTCGAGGGGAGACGTGTTTGCTGCCGAAGCTGCCCTCCAGACCGATGAAGAACTCTTCGTGTTGCTTGGCATAAGTGGCATCTATTGAAGCCACCAGATCTTTCAGGGCACGCTGGAACGCCAGGAGCTCTTCAAAAGCATTATTTAGCAGCCTGAGGACCAGAGACCAGAGTTCATTTCAGTGAAAACATGTCATAACCTTAAACTATAATCTTGAGAAGTGGGACAAAACAGGGTGCAAAATTGAAAAAATAAAACCTTGTACTCAGACAAATTAAACTACATTTATGTATCTTATATGTACTAAGCTACTGAGCTATGCTTTGATACAAACTCCCAACTTTTCTTTTTTTTAACAAAATGTGCTTTTTTACCTTGGACTGTGTAATATAATTTCAACTTTATCTTTAACAGCATTCAAGATGTTTTTAACATTTCAAAACACATTCTCGTGTTAGCAGACAGATTACACTTTCACATGTGACCGACAATTCCACAACAAATATAAAATATCATAATGAAATATTATCAAAATATTCAACTGACGGAGGTGACAGAACTGACGGAGTTGACACATCTGATGGTGGTGACGAAAACCTGAATAACTATCAACTAATAACTATTTAACTATCAAATACATTGAATCAGTCAATTACTGTATTAAAACAAACAACAAACAGTGAGTATGTTATTGTTTATAAAGCTTTTAATCAAGAGTCACATTGAAGTATTTTGATATATCATTGGAACACAAAATCTTATGGCGGTGACATCTGACGGTGTTGACAAATTTGGCATTTCTTTCACAAAACCAATGGAATTCATGTAGTAGCCATTTAATTTGTTTCTGTTGATGCTAGATGCTAATGGAACCTGCTTCAGGAGAATACAATTATCTAAATATTTCAAATAATTTCCTCAGAAATTGGAAGATGGTGTTGACATATCATGGCTGTGACAGGAAATATTAACATTAGGATTTAAAATATTCTAAAACTAAAACTTAGCAGATCCTGTCTGACACTGATGTACTCTGCAGAGGTGAACTGTGGCGAGGGGGTCCTTTAGAGTGACAGCTGCCCCTGATATTCCCTGATTTTATTACATTTTATTGAATGTCTGACAGTGTTGACAAAAAGTGGGGACGCAACTTTAAAATCTTATGAAACATGCATGTGTCATTAAAAAACAACCTTGCTTTGATAGGAGATATTATTAAGTGTTGCTTTTGATAAAACAAGCTCTTTTTCATCATTAAAAAAACATTTTAATCCATTTTATTGCATATGAATGATTGAACCCTTCTCTGTGGACACACTGTTTTTAGACGTAGTGAGAGGACATTAAGAAACACAGATTTGGTATAATCATGAGAAAATTTAATTGAAGGTGATAATTGTGTTAAATAAATTATATTATTAATCCCTCGTGACATTTAAAATATTTGAATTTTTTAAAGCTAATAGCAGTTACCCTTGCTGGACCTGTTTTGTCCCACGTCTCAAGAATGACTGATAAATTATTATGCGTGACATACAAATACATTTATGTGCGTACATATACACATATAGACATACACATTTAAATACTATAATGTAATTTAACCATGCATTGTACATAAACTGTACTGTAAAGTATAAGTAGAAGAACTATTTAAAAAGCTGAACATACTTGGCTGCTCGCTTCTCGTTGCGGCGGCGGAGGTCGTTGAGGTTCACAGTGAGCCTGGATTTGTTTTCGCTGATCATCTGTCGTACTTTGCTCTGATAAATGCCCTGGTCTTGCTGGGAAAGGTAGAAACGCAGAAAAAATTTTGTTAACACATAAAAACATTTTAAAGTAATTTACATAATGCTTCATAAGAGTGGGCCTTTGTTCCTGTAAGGCACATTAACTTCAGTAGTTTAATAGTTAATAAATATATAATAAATGTGTTATACTTACATCATCGTCAAGAAAATCCAGGTAATCCCTCTGCGCCTCCCTCATTTCCTGATCGTCCAGGACTTCAACGGCCATTTTTCTGTATAGCTTTTAAAAGTGTTGAGAAATGCTCAGTGCAAAGCACCTCGTGTCGATCTCAGCACTGTTGTGTGTCTTTTCGCGCCACCGGGCTTCTCTGGCTGTGGAATCCGAGTGCTGATTGGCCGACACACCGGTGTCTCATCAACATATTCGGTCTCTTGGGTTGCGGCGTCCAATCAAATTCACAGAATGAAGATTCGCCCGGCCCGCTTGAGTGTTTCGCGCGAAAAGTGTGGCGGTGCTGCGCATGCGCTCACAACAAAACAGCATTTACGGACAGGGGAGTTGTTGTAGTTGTTGTTGGTCTTTGCCGACAACAAACATGTCGTCGACGTAAAGGGGTCATATGATGCTTTTTTAAAGATCATTATTTTGTGTATTTGGTGTAACAGAATATGTTGACATGCTTTAATGTTCAAAAAACACATTATTTTTCAAATACTGTACATTATTGTAGGTCCTCTATGCCCCGCCTCTCTCAAACGCTTCGTTTCTACAAAGTCCCTCCTTCCGACAAGCGCAGTCTGCTCTGATTGGCCAGCTGACCCAGTGCATTGTGATTGGTCGAACACCGCAAGCACTCGTCGGAAATGTAACTCCCCTTAACATAATCGCGAGCGTCAGCTTTCAAAATAAATGTAAAGACACTGAGTAAATAATGTCATTGGTTTTACCATCAGTTCAAGCCCCAAAGGGGAACAGAGTCGCGTGACAGACACAGTGATGAAGCTGGTATATGTTTGCAGTACACAAGCCACGGTTAAGACAGCTGACTCCACAGTGATGTGACCCCCCCCCTCTCTCTCTCACGCTCTCTCTCTCTCTCTCTCTTTCTCGCACACACACGATGCGCAGAACTCCGCATTTGAACAGTCAATAGCAAATACCAGATTGTCATAGCAAAGTCAGAATGACCTCCTCTCCTAGGTTCACGAAACGGTCGTCCATAAAATGCATTGCTGTTCTGTTGTAAGTAATCTTAAAGGTTCCTAAATGCATCTACTTTCGGAAGGCCAAATAAAGTGCTTTTGCTTTCACAATGAAACACACAGCGTCTCCCTGACATGCTGCTTCAACACTAACTGCGGTTACTGAAACCATGCCTTCTTTCTTTGCTGCACATTTGGGCGCATTATGCTAATATTTCCACACAGTGATGTAGATATGTGGGGGCGTATTAGAACGAGCCGTTTTAGGGGGGCGTGGCAGAGTCTTAACTTTGATAAAGAATATCTCTTTGGTTTTGAGACGTTAGTCTTTGCAACTTCAGGGATCTTATCTATGCACAATCAGCTTGTAACACTCCAAAGAGAAAGGAAAACTTGAAATCGCATCATATGACCCCTTTAAAGTTAATGCCAGTATGTTTGAAAGGGGGCATTAGTTCTGTTTAAGGCTATTTTGCATTTTTAAATACATGCCTACAAGTTTTATAGTTGCCACCATAAATAGCAGCATAATAATAAATAGTAGTTTTCTTACTTTCAAAGTAGATGTTTGGCAGAACAACAGCTTCAATCACCATTCACTTTCACTGTATAGAAAAGATGCAATGAAATAAATGGTGATTTAAGTTGTAGTGGTGATCCTACATAACATTTTCTCCTTTAAATCTACAGTACTGCAAGGGTCCCTATATATTTTTTTCTGATAGCTGATGATAAATGATACGAATAGTACAATATTTTTCCAAAATGCTTATAATTGTGTACATTTCCAGAACATGTGCATTGTGCCATATTGCTTCGATTTGAGAAAATCTAATGTAAGTAGAGACTTAAAGGTAAACATTTATTATCTATCATCAATGCTTTAATGGCATCTAGCGGCGAATATCTGTACCGTAATGTGTTGTTTATTTTTGTATTTTTGAATAACCTTTCATTTCAATCAAGCATGGCTTCTGATGGACAATTTAATATTGAATTAATTTTATTTTGAGAAAACGAGTCTTCAGACATCAAAGTACAATTGTCTGGATTTTATAATCATGTAAGCCCACTGTACAATGTTAGTGTTTTTGAAGTTATATCGTTTTTTCGTTCAGACTTTTGCTCTTTCGAAGAGTGAACTGTGATGCTTGTGAACTGAACTGAGTCGTTTGAGTGATTTGTAACCACATTCACGAGGAGCCACCGACACAAAAGGTCTCTGTGGAGACTTTGACAGGCACAGCGCAGTTGCCAAGGTTAAAATGCAAAAAGTCTGAGGTCCAGATTTAATCTTTGGATCGATATGAAACCCCTTGTATATTTAAAAAAATAACGAAGAGAGGATCGAAGAGTGGCTTTCAACCGGTTCCGCACAGGTGATGAGCAGCTAATTTCTCTCTCTCTCTCTCTCTCTCTCTATATATATATATATATAAACATAACTAGGCTATTTGCTCCCTTTTACTTAAAAGTATGAAGTAACTTATTTTCTTATTTTTCCACGCATAAATAGGTTCCGGCGTTTTGAAAGTATGTTTTCTGTTGTATGAAATGTCACATATTCTTGCTCCCTCTTTACCTGATCAGGCACGTTCAAAAGTATAATTTTCTTATCTTTGATTTTACATGCTTATTTACAACTGTATTTTGTCTAGGCTACTAAATTTTGCAAAATGGTTAAAAGCCTTGTCTGCTTTAACTGCAATAGTGAAGTGTGGTAGCAGTAGATAATAATAAGAGTGTCATATATATATATACATATATAGACACACACACACATATACATACATACATACTTGGATGTCTCAAAACATGGTAAGCTCCATATCTAGACCGCATTTTCAGTGTTTAATGCTGGTTTGGAGCAGGAGCACAGGGGATAATGTGAGTATACAATGATCAATTCTACCAGGCTAGTTATTTACTTGACATTAGCTCCGTAGCACACCGCCTGGTCACCAGAGCAGTCTGTTGTAGATGTGCATGGAGAACGCTTCATCTTACTGGCTGGAGGATCATTCTTCTTTTTGGTGTTATGCAGTGTTCTGACTGCAGTTCTTATGAGAGGAGCTGTGCAAAGGCAACTAAAGAAAAAAGACTGAAAACAAATTAAATCATTTTACAAAGCATATTTGTTTAGTTATATGCTGTAGTACTAAGAAGTATTTATTATTATAAGTTTTAAAATTTAAATAATTTTCTTTTAGTACATTTATTATGAGAATTGTGATGGGATGTCTTTTCTTTCTTTCTTACTTTTTTATTTTAAAAGTCCCACAATCACATTTTGAAATCCCAGATATCTGTTACGGGGCTGACGAGACGTGAGACTTGCGGATCCATGTGCAAGCTTTTTATTGGAGAAGACAGAGACGTGGTCATAACAGGCAGGGTCAAACAAAGACAAACAGGTATATGGCGGGCAAAACACAAGAATAGTCCTAGGGCTAGTGCAGGTCGACGATCGGCAGACAGAATCAAAAAAGGGGCAAGACTAAGGGAGAAATCCAGGAAACCAGGCGAAGATCAGAACCGGAGAAAACAGACAAGGCGAGGCAAAACTAGGCTAAGGCTAAGGCTAAGGCTAAGGCAGGGAAACTAATGAGGGCTCTGTAAAGTAGCTATCTAAGGATAAGATATGTGAGACTTGACTGGACTCATGAAGATCAGTTGTGACTTGACTAGATTCATTAATATCAGCTGTGACTTGACTTGACTCATGATAAGGAACTGTAACTTGACTTGGCTCATTATGATCAACTGTGACTAAACTCGACTCAGGAATCAGTCTAAGGGAGGCAGTTTATATTTTAACTATCAAATACTTGTACAAATCAAATCAAACACAAATACTAAGTTGGTTTTTCACAAATGAATTCACTGCTGACGATAATCTACCATTTAGCCAACATTCCTCTGAGATCCAGTACTGTATGGCTTTGCATAACTGACCTGTTTACATGAAACTGTTTGGAGTCTGGGACATGAGTTTTTCAAAAGCAAAAGCATTCAAATTAAAGGCAGGGTAAGCGATTTCTGGTAGCCAATGATGACATATGAAATCACCAAAACAAACACGCCCCTACCCCAAAAGTGTCTTGCCCCTATTTTGATAGCTCCGCCCCACATATACGTACGCAACCCAGGCAACGATTAGTTCTGTGAAACAAAGCAAAACCAATGTTACACCGTGTCTACATCAGACGTGAGCGGCGCGGCGCAGCACAACAAATCCCGACAGAAAACTGCTGCCTGGTTCTATTTATGACGTGCTGACACAAATTTAAAATGGTTTTCAACGGTCGTTTGATCGCGTCCAGTGTAGGCAGACTTTAGCTGTTGTAGACACGGTGTTACTCACCTATTGAGAAGAAACAAAGCAACCTCGGCGTCCGATCGCAGGCCTCCGCTCCTTGAGTTCTCTCCAGCGCTGGAAAGCTGATCCAATATTTACACGGGTCCTACTTCTTGCCTTATCGTTCCGCAGACGTTTTCCTCTTTTGTTTTTTATCCGCCATCTCTATCTTTCTGTCGCTCGGCTCGGCTAATGTCCGTCCCATGCACTGAAAGCTCTCTCCTCCACATCACGAGTAGACACGCCCCTTATTGCTGATTGGCTACCAGTTTGTTTTGCTATTCGGCCCAAATCAGTTTTCTAAAGTGTTTTTGAAAAATTACATACCCTACCTTTAAGGAATAAAGCTGGATTTGGCCCAAATTAGAATGGGGGAGAGTTGGTGGGGTGAGGGATAAGGGAGGCTACTTTTATTTCACACTCAGCGTTGTCAGGCAATGGTGTTGTGGTGGAGGAACAGATCAACTCTTGCTTGCTTCTTGTGTATCTTATAGAATATTCATGTAGAATATATACTCTCTTCATAAAATCGAAATACCATCTGCAGGCCTGAACAAAAATGTCCTGCTTAAATACTTTGTTGTCTGGGTGTGCTGTTATATACTGTGGGGTCCAATAGTCTAGGACCACATTGAAAATATGGTAGTCAAAATCTGATTTAAACCTATAGAGAAAAATTAAGTTTTAGGATTTTAAAAATGTAAAGCAACAAATCACTGGGACGAAAAAATGTTACACTGATAACAAATGTATTTAATAATAACATGTTTACAACACTGATAACATATTTATTTAATAACAAATCATTTCAACCTC